GCAGGAATAAGAATTTAGTTTAAAGCATATATCAATCAAAGCTGATCCTATTTTATTGACCTTGAAGTTTTTATGAAAGTTGCAAGAAAGGTAATGAGCTTTCATGCACATTAGCAGAAGTGCTATATTACAAAGTGTAAAAAAGAATGTGGTCTTAATCAAAATATGTAACCTTTAGACATGCTAAATTTAGCGCAAATAAAATCTGTGATAGGTTGCCTTGGAAAACGTTGCTATAGCTGCAAGGACACATTTCTGGCTATTGGTAGGGGAAAGGTAAGCTTTCAAATTGCAGTATGTATGCAACAAGTTTATGTGGTGCTGATTTTTATAGCCCTAACAGGAGGAGACCAAACTTCACATATTCATACCTTTGAAACATAAAAAAGACATAGTTTGGCCTGATTAATCATTAGGATTGTTTGAAATTATAGCCTAAAAGCCTAAAGTTTATTGAATGATGATTAAATGGTTAAATTGCCTCAATGGAAACAAACTGCTGGGGAAACCAGCATTGAACAGTAAATATGTAATTCTTCCCTTCAGACTGAAACAATTACAAATGAACTTTCAGCAATATTTAAATTGTATATTAATCCACAGCTTTTCATTAATTTCCCTTCACATCACTGAGAAAATTAATATTTCAGTATATTAGATGTAATTTTAATTATGTGGTTTAACTCTAGATTAAGATTGCTTAATAGCTTTGATCATTTGTCATACACAGAATGCTAAATCTCTGTTCTTATGTTTTACTTATGGAAGTCAGGATTTGGTCAGCGTGATGTAATGTCACTCCTTTTAACCAACATGTGCAGCAAAATGGGATAGCATTCTTTCAAGCTATTATGAAATTTTTTTCAAGTAATTTTAGTTGTGCCTTGTCAATACAGAGAATTTTTTTTTTTTTTTTTTTTTTTGGTGCATGTGCAACCATCACTAGGTTTATCTAGCTCTCATTATCTACGATTTTTTACTGTCACCCAGCCCTGGCATATCGAACACCCTTTGAGGGATTCTTCACTGCTTTGAGTGCAGTTTTGATCCATGGGCACTCAGTGAAGTCCAGTACCAGTTGACAATTGTAAAGAGTTTGTTTAGATGACTTTCCTAAGGCAGTTCAGTTACAAGGTGATTTATTAACAAGGTCTGAAATAGCCATTTGGAGGTTTTATAATCCAGTCACACAGCCAGTGTATTAAACTACATTAATCCTTTTGAAAAATAATAAATTTTATCTAAATTTTTTTTCTTGTTAACCTTTCAGGAAACACAAAAGTAAATATTATGTAAAGAATCAATAGAATAATTCAGAAAATGTTTTTTGATAATTAGACTAAAAAAAGTTGTCTACTCCAACCTTACAAAATAGCATCAGCTAGATTACCTTTGCAAGAATTGCTTATTTTATCAATAAGAATTTCTTCTGTCGCATCAACCATTTCTTCAAAGTCCACCTCTGTGGTTTTCTCTGTTACAGAAGGGTAATCAGCTATCCCAGAGAACAGGGGCTTTTGCTCATCTTCGATGGAGGACACAAAAGATGATGACCCGCTTTTTTTCTCCTCAAAGTGTTTCTTAATAGATTGATAGTATCTGGTGGTGTCCCCTGAGGGTTCAGGATCTCTCTGATCATTCTCTTTGAAATAATCTGTTAAACAGAAATAATTGTTTACAATAATATGCAGTTCATGAAATTGTGTTCTAGTTTATTCTGGTCTGAGGATGAAGATGATTATTATGTCAGTTACAAAGTTCATTGTCTATTAGAATAAATTACTTTAAAGCCTTTTTTGATTCATGTGTCAGAGGAGATTTATATTTCTTTTGAAGTCCTAGAAGACATTTGTATGTATGTAGTAAGGATTTGTAGTGCCTAAACTGTAACTCATTATGCAAAAAGTTGCTTATATCAAAACAGCAAATGTTTTATCCAACACAGACCTCCTGTTTAGTCATTGTTTTCCCAGGTGAGGATGAGATTTGAGAAGCCCTTATATTCCAAAGTTTTAAAAACTTAACTTCTTATTTCATTCCCTCTTCCAATTTCTCACATTCCTGGGCATTTCTCACAGTCTTGACGAGCTAACAGTCGTGGATATCAGACTCGGTATCAGAACTAACCATTTAAGTTATGCTCACATAAGAACATCTTTGCTGATCATTCTTTTCCCAGAAAAGGCAAATGTATCAATCAACTCTCAACCTCAAAATGTCTGGGCCCACCTAACTAGACAGCATATTTCTCCATGCTCATTACTGCCAAACCTATATTTAGGATTGATATGGTAGAAAGAAACCCTTTTGGTTCAAAAGGAAGGGAGCTCTTTGTCTGTCTTTGTGGGATCATCTCAAAACAACTTTCCAAAGTAGCCCAAATTCCTTAGCCTTTAGAATTAATTGGAATACTCTGAACATCTAATCTTTTGAATAAGAAAAGTGCACAACATGCTGTGACATATATGGTAGCAGAATACAAATCAAGTTGAGAATGAATCTTTCATTAATCGCATTCAAGATCTGTTGTGAGGAAGAGCAGATTCAGTCCTCTTAAGAAGTGGCAAATAAAACTAGATTTAAAGCAGATGCCTTTAAAAACACATTGTAAAAATTAAATAGGATTTGATCATTTATGAATGATCATTTATGAATACAGAGAACTCCTGATCTCTTTTCAGCATAAACTTGAAGCTATTATCCAATTCAATATTTGGTCTTACTTATTTTAAACTGAAATGTCAAGATAATTCCAGTTCTGCTATTTATTTAAAACACATTTTAGCAGGGTAGTCTCAACAACATATAAATACTGTAACTAGTTTGCATTAACTTCCTGGGGAGACAGCATGATTTCCCATCTGCTTTGTGCTAATTACTAATCAACATAGCTCTGGAATGTCTGTAGTCTTTACAGCCCACAGCAGCGGCTAATACAACATTCAGTATATTCCCTAGGTTTCTCCTCTGTTTTCTGGTCATTATAAGGAAGTGAAACTGTGGCCTCATCTAATGCTCTTTATCTGCACATAAAGAGAATGCAATATCTGTACAGAGCACTCTGCAGGAGTCCAGACACCTGTGAGCAGTGAGGGCAGGCAATGGCAAACAAAATAAAACCCATACTAAAGCAGGTACTCCTGTACCCTCTAGAGTCTCCAAGGGCAATTAACACAGCCCTGGACAAAAGTGACTTTATTTGGCTTCTGTTAAGCAGGATTACTAGTTATAAGTGATACTGGTGATACTATGATACTGCAAAGGTGTCAACAGAAATGCGAAGAGACTGGCAATGTAAAGCTCTTGGGGGATGCTCAGACTGGAGAGTCAAGTACTGTGTTCTCTGCAATCCCACCTCCAAAACTGTACAAAACTGAAAGCTTCATAAGAAAATTCTAATGTAGATGTCTCCCATGGCTTTTCTTTTGGGTCAATGGCTCAATGTCCAAGTGGAGA